TATTTCACTTGGTAAGAATGCTATGTCATTGTTGTCAAGGTGCAACTCAAGTAGCTTATTTAATCCATTGAATAATGGTGAATTCAGCGATTGAAGTTTATTATGTGACAAATCCAACACTGTTAATTTAGGAAAGTTGTGAAATATTTCACTTGGTAAGAATGTTATGTTATTAGAGTCGAGGTGTAACTCAAGTAGCTCATTTAATCCATTAAATAATGGTGGATTCAGGGATTGAAATTTATTATGTGACAAATCCAAAACTGTTAATTTAGGAAAATTGTGAAATATTTCACTTGGTAAGAATGTTATGTCATTGTAGTCAAGGTGCAACTCAAGTAGCTTATTTAATCTATTGAATACTGATGAATTCAGTGATTGAAAATTGTTTCCCGACAGATCCAGGTTTGTTAATTCTGACAAACTGTGAAAAATTTCACTTGGTAAGGATGATATGCCATTGTTGTCAAGGTGCAACTCAAGTAGCTTATTTAATCCATTGAATAATGATGGATTCAGTGATTGAAGATTGTTTCTTGACAGATCTAGTTCTGTTAGTTCCGACAAATGGTGAAATATTTCAGGTGATAAGAATGTCAATGAGTTAAAGGATATATCCAACTCTCTAAGATTTAGTAACCCATGAAAAACTGTTTCCGGTAACGATGTTAATGCATTTCGATACAAACTGAGTTGTATTAAGTTTGTTAAGCCAGCAAATGCATTTGGAGAAATGTCAGTGATCTCATGTCTTCTGATGGTCAAGTAATTCAGTTCAGTTAATCCAACAAAGGCATTTCCAGAAATTGTTTGTAATGCCGACAGATACCATTTCGATGTGCGTAGTATGGGATGGAATATTGGAGGGTATTTCAGGCAAACGACTGCTGCAATAGAAACGATATCCATCACCGCCGTATTGGATAACACCTGCATGCAGATGGGCATCTCTCAGAGAACCAGATTCATCAACAATATAGGTAATATATACATAGGAGGGTGATTTGCCAACTCATCTTGATATGATGACCTGCAACACAAATTGATATAATTAATTTCATTTTTGGTAACATCAATGTACAACAATCAGTCTCAGCTAGGCGGGTGGCCCCTACGTGTTTCTGGTTATTATTCATTGATTTACAAGAAGTACAATGAATAAATGACTAGGTTCCTACCTACTATAAGCGTAGTGCATCATAAGCGAGGAATGATGGAAAAGCACCAGACTAGTTAAGAAACACGTTTATGTGAGAGAGAACTACATCTATGATGATTGTTGTGTTGTTATATCTATCATTTGAAACAGTATAATTGCTTTGTTTGTCTTCAGTGGAGAGATCTTAATATATATTAAATCTGTTATATTTCTATTATAAACACTTTAATTTGACACATCTGACCTACAACAAAGTCACCATGGAAACCAACTTCTGAGAAAATAACGCTATATAGCGATCATGATTTATTATTTCAATCCCATTACATATCATCTTTGCCAGTCAAGGACCATTGATCCGGCCGAAGCCTCAACATTAACCCTTGGCAGATTTTACAACGATTTACTGCATTATCAAACGGTTATAAAATTCACTTCGGCTCATTTACATTACCCAATCAGAACCCATGATAGAAACGACACATTACTTGGTATAATTAAAATCTTGGAATATAGAAACCAACGTGTTGCTAGCTTCATGCTCTGTGAAGTATTTTACTGACTTGGTGGTGCTGTATCTGAGAGAAATTATGTAATTGTTGCAACGAAATCAGGAAATCAGATTGGGCAAGTCGATATGTTATTAATTTCGAAAGTTTTGTCGGTTTAACGACAACACGATTTGCACAAATAATTAGACATTCCATCGTCTTCATTCACTTGCCCACAAACAATTTTCAAGGTTGGAATAAAACATTTTGGAAACGTGTCAACAATTATAGACCTGTTCTTGACTCCGGGTGAATCAGCGCAAATGACTGCAAATTTAACTGCAGTGAAATACAGCTTTTCCTAACACAATTACGCACGGGTTTGTGGTCTGGTTATGAATGGCCGGCTTTAGTGAAACCGTGCGATTTTATTTTTAACCATTTAACCTGATCCATAAAAGAAAATAATATGTGGATGTTTATTCACCCCAGCAAACACCGATTCGAATTAATGAAATTTGTTTCAAAACACTGAAGATCAGACACTGTTAAATCTGCCATGCTCGTACCCGTATGGGTAATGACAGATTTGTTGCCCATTTATGACTGGTTAGTAATTGAAAAAAGTACACACTCGGTAAAAAAAAACTCTCACAAATTACGCACACAAAAAAGCAGAGGGTGAAATGCCCTAAAATACCTTGACTCATGCGATTGCGCGTCAATTAGGTACTGATTGGACAGAATGGTAGGTAGTGTTCAACACTATGGTGTTGGATATTGTTTGTGTGAGATTTGTTTACTTCAGTGTTTGTTGTGAGTAATTGTCTATTCAGAATCACTAGCGTAATTTATATGGGTACACTGCTATTTGTTAGGTATGACCTGCTGCACTACCAGTTGACATGTGTATGACATTTAGTAACCACATCACGTATAAACCAGACACCTAGACTCAATTCATAGATTTCTGATTAGCATCGCTTTAATCTAAATTCTGTCACATTGTTGTTTTTCATGGCAACATTTCAATTTATCTGCACAGATTAAAGGACACATTTTATTTTGCTTGGTTGAAAAAAAAGTGACAAAAAATATGAAATACAGCACACAGTGTGAATGTGCTGTAGTAAGCCTAATTAATTCATATGCTTTATTTTTGCTCCTCTCGCCAGTTTTAAACCCAGTTGATATGAAAATAAAAAGGCGGTGATCGTCGAAAATTGGCGACAGATCAACGAGTTTAAACTGAGACGTTACCAAGCTTAAATTGGGTAATTTTTAGGCGATTGTCAGGTATCGAAGTAGTTACCGACGGTGGTTGAGGCAAGTCATGCCCAGGTCAAAACTCATACTTTTGATTTCCATTAGAAGAGTGCATTGGTTTGTGGGAAAATATGTGTATATCAAAGTAATTGTCTGACATGCGCAACGCGACGACCACCGCCCTTTAACATTAAAACATACTTCTTTTTATAAACTTGTGAATTTAAAAACTAAACTCTCCCCCTACACTATTTTATTATCACTTATTCGCCAGCTGACAGCGAAATGAAGAATCCTAAATGAGACATTGTTTGGACCTATAAGGAAGTTAAACTAACATGGTCATACGTGATCAAACTCGAAAGCTTATAACATTCTAAAATGTACATCTAACGAACTGTAACAACACACCACTGAATCAGATGAAAACAGTAAGGGTTTACCGCTGATTGCAGTCAATTCAAGTTCGTATGTTCTGCGCAGAGCTAAATCTGTCCTGTCCAGCAGTAACTGCACACGACGCCACAAAACATGTATTGTTGATTATTCTTTCCTTTCACGAGGTAACACTTGATAGGTCGTATCAGGGAGATGGTCGTACGCAGTGACAGGCTTTATTTGTCACAATGAAGTCTCTGTAAGGTACCATAATGGGATGGGAGCGTATAGTCCTCAACAAACATATAAACATCACATAGTATCAAGCTCTAAAATTATGTCTATTGCAAAACAATTCAACCGACAACCAGTTCGACGCCACAATTTCTTGTTGGAGCCCGAGTTCTACTCGTGATTTTATTGCGTTTCAAACTGCGCACGCACTCACAGTGGTTTCTCGAAATGCATACTAATTAGGTAACTTGTCACAGATAAAAGTCACTGAAAATAGTACTGTTTTCATCGTAGTGCAATAGTACTCTCCATGAATTTCGTAACATGCTATGATCACGGTAAAGAAATAAACCTGTGGTAACTTTTAACAGTTAAGATCAAAACCGTGTCTCAAAAATAATACATCAGTGTTATGTTTATTTTTTTCAGCTCGTAGCAATAGAATCAGTTAATTTAAAACTATCATGTATGCTATCGGAAAGCATTTTGGCACAATTTTACTGAAAGGGCGAGTTGTTCATTGCTCGTGAATATCAATTTATTTATTTCAAATAATCGTGTGAAAGCAGTGATTTTTTTTTTCAAAAATGGATAATGTTTTCACCGATTTCATTTTTGGTGGGGCGGTGAACTGTGTCATAGAAAGGGTTTGTACTGAATATGCAATATATAGCGAAGGCCCAACCAATCTAGACAACAGAAACATTGTTTTATAAGTACATTTCAAGTGCAATTTTTGTTTCTGAAACCAAAACGACGAATCTCCTTGAATAGTTTAAATGTGTGTAAAATTAGAAAAAGCTTTGCATATTTAATACTTTTGGTTCAGGGATATAACATAGCGTTTTGGCTAAGTTGTTGTACAAGTAACTCTTATAGTCATGATTATTCTTAGTGATTATTCATTATGCTATTTAGATGATTAATTGCAATGACATATCTACCGTGATTCTTTATTAAAGCAGCCCAGTTCATAACCCCGTGCAAATATCATACTGAGGAAAGAATAATAATTTTACAAGCCACACGACATTTACTATGCATACGTACTAAATCAACAACAACATGAATACTGGTAGAATTTGCAAGTCTTAGGTGCATAGGAATTGGATTACAGGTAGAAAATCTGCAGACTTCTAACTTCCCACTAGAATGAGACATTCTGGACTAGCTAATCTAAGATTTATTGTTTTAATACTTAAGGTAGCGAGAGGGGAAACGTAATTTATAGTTTAACGGACTTTAGGACTTTCCTCACCAGTTACTAAGCATGCAGTTATGGCAATATATATGTTTTCAGAAAGCTGAGATATAGCAGAATACGATTATATATGTTTCGTCTTGATATTTGCTCAGGAGATTAAGTTACGATCGTTCCCGTTAACCTCCTAAACGGAGAGTTTTTTTGCGGGATTGGCCGTTTCTCGGTGTTCCTTTTTTCTATGTTTCTGATCTTTTCACTGTTGCTTTATAAGATAATGATCTTTGAGAAAGCGTCTCGAAATTGTTATGTGCCCCATAGTTCTGGAGATAAAGCCTGTTGAACTTTATGGACTCA